AAAGTATTGCGCCCATTGTACTCGAACCACATTCAACTCGTCAACATCATATGGGGCGGTCCTTGGACAAAAATCCTATTGAAAAAAAAAAACATATGAAAGAGGTTAAATAAAAACAATCCATAATAAAAACAATCATTAGAATAAATGTGATGAACCAAATTATAGAAATAAAACTCATAATATAGAAACAAAACACATAACATCCTTAATTGACTTATATTTTGATTTCTATGAGTTGAAATCAATAAAAAGTTAACATTTACTCACTTTTGGGAGCGCATAGAGCCAAAAAGGCTTCAAAATTGTGCTAAAGGACTTCTATCTTTCCCATCTTTCAAGTATTTGTTCAAATTAACACAATATAACACATAAAATCCTTAATTATCTTATTTTTTGGTTTCTATGAATTGAAATCAATGAAAATTGACCACTATCTCACTCCTAGGAGCGTATAGAGCCAAAAAGGCTTCAAAATTGCCTAAGGGACTTCTACCTTTCCCATCTTTCAAGTATTTGTTCAAATTAACACAATATAATACTTAACATCCTTAATTACCTTATATTTTGGTTTCTGTGAATTGAAATCAATGAAAATTGACCATATCTCACTCTTGGGAGCTTATAGAGCCAAAAATGCTTCAAAATTGTCTAAGGGACTTCTACCTTTCCCATCTTTCAAGTATTTGTTCAAATTAACATAATATAACACATAACATCCTTAATTACCTTATATTTAGGTTTCTATGAATTGAAATCAATGAAAATTGACCATTTACTCACTTTTAGGAGCGTATAGAGCTAAAAAGGCTTCAAAATTGCCTAAGGGACTTCTACCTTTCCCATCTTTCATGTATTGGTGAATTAACACAATATAACACTAAACATCCTTAATTACCTTGTATTTTGGTTTCTATGAATTGAAATCAATGAAAATTGACCATTATCTCACTCTTGGGAGCGTATAGAGCCAAAAACGCTTCAAAATTGCCTAAGGGACTTCTACCTATCCCATCTTTCAAGTATTTGTTCAAATTAACACAATAAAACACATAACATCCTTAATTACCTTATATTTTGGTTTTTATGAATTGAAATCAATGAAAATTGGCCACTATCTCACTCTTGGGAGCATATAGAGCCAAAAACGCTTCTAAATTGTCTAAGGGACTTCTACCTATCCCATCTTTCAAGTATTTGTTCAAATTAACACAATATAATACTAAACATCCTTAATTACCTTAGGGCTTGTTTGGCATTGTTTTTTGTTTTGAGTTTTGAGTTTTGTTTAAAACAAAAAACCAAAAACAAGAAAAAGGTGTTTTCACTTTTCTGTTGTCAGTTATCAAAATTAGCATGATTTTAATAAGTTTGACTAAATTTTTATTCATTATATGACATATATCATACACTTTTAAAATACAAAAAACCAAAAAACTGAAAACCGCAACAATGCCAAACGAACCCTTATATTTTGGTTTCTATGAATTGAAATCAATGAAAATTGACCATTTACTCACTTTTAGGCGCGTATAGAGCCAAAAAGGCTTCAAAATTGCCTAAGGGACTTCTACCTTTCCTATCTTTCATGTATTGGTTCAAATTAACACAATATAACACTAAACATCCTTAATTACCTTATATTTTGTTTTTTATGAATTGAAATCAATAATAATTGACCATTATCTTACTCTTGGGGGCGTATAGAGCTAAAAAGGTTTCAAAATTTGCAAAAAAAAAATTACTAACCTCTTCTAAGACACCTTTGCACTTCAAGTAAAGGGATACAAATACGCGTTTCAAGGAGGAAATTTGAGAAGCAAATGCACTTACATGATGGTTGTTTTGACTACAGAAGAGTAGCTTGCCCCACTAGCTTTCAAAATTTCACCCATGTTTTTGAGAACCTGAAATGTAAGATGACTTGAATTATTAACACCTCTATCACTTTAGGGCCCAAAATATGAGATTTTTTTTAAAAGAACTAATTGAAATAAAAGTTGAAAGTCTAGATATGCCAAACTCACGAACCATATACTGCCCCTACCTCGATACTGTGCTGGAAGCAAGAACACTAGAGGTCTACAATAATTGTAGAATGCCTAAAAGTTCATTCAAAATGATAATCTAAATGCATGTTTGGCAAATAATTGGCAATTTGCAAATAGCTCACTTGCATACATCAAACTACAGTTTGTAAAAGGAACATGTTTATCTTCATGGCAAATGAAAGCCGACCAACTTATTCACATCAAAAGCAGTATTTTTGAACCAGCAGTTTGCTACAGTTTTAGGCATTTCATTGAGCACAGAAAAACAAAATTTGGGTTTACAATGCAGACAAGTGACAAGCATTTGATAAATTGATACTACTCAGCCACTGAAGCGAATTTAATATGGGCACTTTGACAGTTTGACTCATTGAGCATCATATTTGTCTTAGCTAATATTGATTAATAGGAATAAGCAAATGACCCGTTGTAGAGCATTGAGATATGCCTTTACTAAGCATATATTATCAGCACAAGATAGTTTAAAGAACTTTTCTTTGGCAAACAGTACCCCAGCTCCCAGTCTCCCATCCTAACCAAAAGAATGCTGCACAAGTAGAGTAGTTAGCAGCGAAAAAGGAGATGCATTAACAAGCTCGTCAAGGCAAAACTTCCTTTATTAAATGTATATAAATATATAATTACACTTATAAATCCGTCATTCCGTCCATCTACTGTCCAGTGATTGAGTCATCACGGGTCCTTCACAATTACAAGACTTTTAGACCCCCAGCATACTTGTACAAAAGAATGATTTCCTAATAGTAGAGCTATAACAAATCTTTAAGTTACCGTGTCAGTTTGCAAAAATTTTCATTACCTGCTCAGTTTGTTCCTCCACATTTTCTGATACAAAATTTCCCGTCTGCATTCAAACAGGTATTGTTTACATTAGTAAGCAAGAACAATTACAAGAGCACAAACTGACAAAATTAGCTGGAAATAATCAGATTTGAAACTCAAACCTCAGGCACAAGACCCAGAACACCAGATACAAAGAGCATGTTGTTTGCTTTAATGGCTTGAGAATATGGTCCCAATGCCGCAGGAGCCTTGTCTGTTTGAACAACTTCCTTTAAACCTACATACGCGGAAATGATAACACACTCATAAATCATCACTAGTTAAGAAAATGTGATCACAAATTCACAACCATACAGACTAGAAAACCCAACAGCCAACATGCAAATGAAAGAGGATACTATCACAGTATAACTCTGTCTTAATTTGAGTACAAAGGAATTTCCTTCTAAGAACATCACGTTAGAAACACAAGAAATTTCAATCTTTGCTCCTATTAATTAAAGAAAACAATCTGGGGCCTCTGGGCATTCACCTGATTTGGAGTGGTTTCAACAAGAAGCTTCTTCGACTGTGTGTCAAGTCCGAGCCACTGCTCCAATGAATTCAGATTATCACACAGTTAAGAAGGGGTAAAAGAAGAAAGGTCAACTAAAGGTTTCTAAGACTGAAACTTACCACCCATCCAGAACCTTATGTTTCAAAGTCAAATGGTATGCATTGGAAGTTCGGGACCCGAGTCAATCAAGTTCAACAAAATGTCTTACAAGCTGCTGCCCCTAAACCTTCACCACACTTCACCTTACCCTACACACCAACACAACCAAAACACATCTCCCCTGCTTCCATCTCCACCACACTCAACCACAACAGCCGCAAACCACCACCTTCAGCCACTCAAATCACCAACCACCACCTTCAGCCACTCAAATCACCAACCTCCACCTTCAGCCACCTTTAACAGAAGCCACTACCACCACCACGCAAACCACCAGTCCACCACTGCTTTCCCCCAATTCACCAACTGCCAGCCGCAACTCCAATCAGCCCACCAACACCAATAACCGCAATTCTCCCCTGTTCTACCACCACCACACAAAACCGCAACCACCTGAACCACGCCCTTCCCCTGTTTCCACTCGCAACAACAACAATCATCAACCAATTCACCACCTCACCTCCAACCAAACCCACGCAAACACCACCCACCAATCAGAGAAGCATAATTTGGGGAAAAAAATAAAACCTATAATTAAGTAATTGCAATTAAGCAAATGGAAAATAGTAAAATCAATCAATTAATTTGGGGAAAAAAAAAATAAAACCTATAATTAAGTAATTGCAATTAAGCAAACTGAAACAAGGGTTACGAAATTGGGGGAGGAGAGAGAAAGAGTACGCTTTAATGGAGAACTATGAGCGCTTCAATGGAGAACTCAGATAGCGCTTCAATGGAGAACTCAAAAAGCCCTTCAATGGAGAACTCGGAGTGCGCTTCATTAATGGAGAACTCGGAGTGCGCTTCAATAATGGAGAACTCAAAGTGCGCTTCAATGGAGGAGAAGAGTGAGAATGAGAGGAGCAAAAGATTGAACTGAGCTTGGAGCTCCTTCAATGGAGTTGAGGGAGGTGAGGACGACGACCTTGCGCGCGGGAGCTGCTTCAATATTGGAGAGAGAAAGTGGAAATTTTTTGACAGAGGGTAGTGAGAAAGGGGAAAGTAAAAATTTAGGGCTTACTTTAAAACCTTATTCGTAACGGACACCCCCATGTTAGTTACAAATAATAAGGTCAAAATTCTGTTGACTTTTCTATTTGTAACCGGCAATATTTGTTGGTTACGATTAGTTAGTTAATCGTAACGGGCAGAATAATGCCTGTTACAAATAACAACTTATTCGTAACGAATAATCCTTTTTCTGCCCAATTCACAACTTTTTTGTAACGGACATTGAATTTGCCCGTTACGAATGACTTAATTGTAACGAAAAATCATATGTCCGTTACGAATAGCTTGTTACAAATAAGATTTTTTCCACTAGTGACTTCTTACGTGTTAGCAGCCATCTCTCCCTTCCTCTCTCGTCCCACCACGTGTCATCTCACCCTAAAATAAAAAAAATAATAAAAAAAAGGTCACATTATTTTTAAACCCCTTCTTCTTCTACCCCCTTTAAAACAACCCAAAACACAAAAACGCTTTTCTCCTTCCTTCCTTTCCCTCCCTCCATTGTTATATATTCTCCCATGCTTTTTAGAGAGAGAAACTCTTCATCTTTTTTTAGAGAGAGAAACTCTTCATCTTTTTTTAGAGAGAGAAACTCTTCATCTTTTTTTAGAGAGAGAAACTCCCTCCTTCCTTAACCTTCGTCAATGGCGGACGATAACCCACCAACCGACGAACCCCCCACCACAAACACAAAAACAACCGCCATTGATGAAGATGACTTAGAGCTTAGCCTCTCTCTTCGCCCTCTCAATTACTCCTCTTCTTCTCCACCTTCATCTCTCCTTCCTAAGAATGTTCTCGAACCTTCCTTTGTTTCCGCCCCCAACGCTCAGATCCTCTCCAAGCGTGACGCGCAAGCTCTCCGCCGCCATGAAGCCAAGCTAAAGCGTGACTTGAAACGTAAGTCCTCCGCTAAAAACGACGTCGTTGTTGGTAATCATCAACAGGAGGATTTTCTGGAGGAACGTCGTCGGAAACTTCTGAATTTAGGGTTTCAAGGAGCGACGCCGCCGTGGTTAGGGTGGAATGCTGGTGTTTATCAAGGGCAAAACGGTAATTTCGCTTCTCAGAATGACGGTGCCGGTTCCGGCGCCGGCGGTTCTATGTCTAGCGGTAGCTCTTCTGGAATTTCTGATAATTACCAGTGTATTTCTGGCACAGGTAATTTCTTCTTAATTTTGAATTTAATTGATTAATTAATTTGTTTATTTAATCAGGTTTTCTATTTAATGATTTAATATAGAATTGATTTTAAATTAATTGCAAGTTGAATGGATTTTATTCTACAAAGTCATTTTCAAGGAAGATCTGTCTTTTTAATTTGATTTTAATGTTGTTACAAGTTGCTAATATTATAAATTTGATTATAATCCTAGAATAAAAAAGCCACATGAGGTTAGTAATCAAATGTTGTTTTATCAAATAAAAAATGATCCAATTGGTGGAGAAAGATAATATTTTTAATAATCATAGGATTAAGAAAGGGTAATCCCGATATTATAGTTAATTACATATATTAAAGAATGTGTAATTGGGGTTGTTTTTAAATAAATTAAGAGGGTATGAATGACATTGTTGCTTTAGGATGATATGATATGACACTGAGTCACTGATTGCAATTTGCAAGTTGTATTGATTTCTTAATTTGGGGGTGCAAAGTCATTAATCAAGTTGTAATTCTTAAATTGTGCCAAAGAACACCTAGTTGTACACATTGGCTTAATTTATAATTGTGGACGGTGACGGTGTTGGTGTTCCTAATCAATGACTATTATGTAATGAATAATGATATTAATCGATCATCTGATTTTGATGGATTAATAAAAGAAACTTAGGAGTACGACGAGTAATATTTTAGGTTGAGGATGTTCTTATGGATGATATAGATTAGTTTTTGGTTTTAGATTGATTTGGTAGAATGGTAGACGATAACATGAGATTGAATTTGTGTGATTATGATTAACGCACAGATTATAAATATTAATGTATGCAATTAAGGGGAATGCATTGCTGAATTGGGGTTAGATTCCATGTGTTAATAAAAGAAACATTGGAATACTACGAGTAATGATGCAGATTAGTCTTCGGTTTTGATTGTTTTCCTCTAATAGAGTTGGCTCTGTAGATTGATTTGGAAGATGATAACTTAAGATTTGATTTGTGATTAATGATCAATTCTTAGATTGTACGAAGTAAATATTAATGTATGCAATAATGCAACATAAGGGGAATGCAGTGCAAATTTGGGTTGAAGTTTACTCTTTTATTGTGACATCACGAGTGACGGTTTCTAGTAATCTAGTATTACCTGATTGTTGAAGTCATTATTCGAGTTGTTCTACCATGGAGATAACATTAAATATTGTACGTAATTACATATTCTTTGGAAGATTTAATATTGTTAATCAACATTGGGTTGTTTTGTGATAACCTGCAAAGTGCAATCATGCTGACAAAGGATGTTTATTTTCTGTTTAACCTGGATAATATTGTAATCAACTTATTTGGAGTCTATTTAATCACATAAGTTGGCGAAGGTCCAAATTAATCTCTCAGAAAATGGGTAGAGAGTGGAGTTTGCAGTGTTTATATTCTTTAGACTTGAATATAAGAAGGTCAATTGTTGGCCTTAATCCTTGGACGGTTTCATATTGGAAGAATTGACACAATCGGAGTCTGAGAGGAGGATATAGTGACGACATAGTTGATTACTTTAGGAGTTTTAACCTGTAGAAACATTTTCTAATAAATCCTTATACTAAATATGGAGTATCCCTGTAAACACATAATTTTTTGTGTTCTTCTCATCTCCATATTCTGGTTATCAGTCTTTTAGCTCTCTAGTTTTTGGCAAAAATGATTGTGATGTTTATCCAATGTTTGTGATGAACTCTGTTTCCATATGCGGTATCTATTTGAGCTGACCTTTTGTTAATGTAGGTGGAAATAGCAGTGACGCTGGCAGTCATTCAAGCCATCCTCACTCGCCATTGGCCCCAACAAATGCTCCGGCAACTAGTACTACTGCGCAACTACAACCTTGTTCATCACAACCAGAACTTCAAATTAACTGTTCTAATTCAAACGTCTCAAAACCCCCATTGTGCAGCTCATACTCGAACAAGATTGAACTCGTTACGGGCTCAAGACAACTCTCTAAGTCACAAGAAAAACTGAATATGATTTGCCAACAAAATGAAGCGCAACCTAACATTGATGATACATTGTCAGATGATAATAACAAAACAACTCGAACCACAATTCCCAAAGAAGCCAAAGGTGAAATTGGGAAGCCTCCAAAGCCCGTTGGGGTAATAGACCAGCAGAAACTGATGTTTTCTCAAATGCCTTGTGTTTCAACCACCGGAAATGGACCCAATGGAAAGACATTAACTGGGTTTTTGTATAAATATTCAAAGGCTGAGGTGAGCATTATATGTGTTTGCCATGGAGCATCATTCTCCCCAGCTGGTTTCGTGGAGCATGCTGGAGGTGTAGATGTAGAATACCCTCTCAAGCATATTAGAGTGGTTCCTTTTGCCCTTGGTTGACACCCTGAGCTAACCTAATGAGCTGTTGAGTGTTGCTAAATTGAAGTAAGATCGAGATCGTAAGACTCCTTCTGTTAGTTTTTTTAAGTAGTACAGGCAACCTTTCTTTTTGTAGCATTACAGGGTATAGATAGGAAATTCTTTGTTCTGAAGGTTGAACTTTTTTTATCTAACTGAATTAGTACATTGGATGTTAATTATAATATTATACTTTTCTGTAATGTTTATTATGAATTCAATTAAGCTTGCCTAATTATCCTATTTAAAGCTTAAGATTCTTAAATCATCCTTGCACACTTTGTTAAAATGGATCTAATACTGTAAAAAAAACATATCGAACGTGACATGTTGCAACTATGTAATAGAGAACCTATAGGTAATCAAGGTGAAAGCAAGCACGAGTTCTATTTTATGAAGGTCACATGATGAACATGGATCTATTCTTTGTATTACATAGAGTATGAGCTCGAGCAAGACTTGACTCACGTGGTAAAGCGTCCTATCTTAAAGGTACTTGGAGTTGGAGGTGGGGTTCTCTTACCGTGGGAGTTTGAAGTTTGGTCAATATTCTTCTGAATTAAAATACATGCATGCACATTTTTGCCACCGTCCATAGATTTATTTGTACAAACTACAAAGTTAAATTCCCTATAAAGCTTTGCCGTGTACAAGTTCAAGCAATGCACGCAAAAGAAAGAAAAAGGCATCAGCTTCAGGAACACTGAAACATCTAAAAAGCATATAAACTGCTATATTTAGAAGAACATTATGATGTCTTTTTAATTGCCACATGGTGTTTTTTATTTGGTAGTTCCGTCCTCATTAATAAATAAAATTTGGTAAACATGGAGTACATATATCTAAAATTAAAGTTTTTTTTTCCCCTTAAATTATGTGTGACATTTATTTTTAGGCTGAGGAACGGAGGAAGTAGTAATTGTCTTCGATGAAAATCAAAGATCTTTTGATTATTTACACCCACCCGATTATCATTTTAAGTTCCTTTTATAGGTCATGTTATAGGCAGCCGATGAAGAACATGTATGATATTTGGCATTAATGTGGGTTTGAAAGAATGTTTTGTTTTCTAAAAAGAGTATGAGAGGAAAGAATGGATTTTCCTCAAATCTCAACTAAATTTGGTTGAATTTTGATTCTGTGAACAAGTTTATTTCTGCTGATTTCTATATAAATTTAATCATTAACTTTTCAGGATAGGATAATGAGGATAAGAATAGGCATTAGCAGGTGGATTATCCATTGTTTGATATGATTTGAGAATTAAATTGAAATAAGTAGGTAAAATTACTTAACTATCCTTAGTAACCTTTCTCCTCCCGTCCTCCTTCCTCTTCCTTCCTTTTTTATTAAAGGTAAAATTGTCTTTTACTTGTTAATTTAATTCCCAAACCTTATACATGCCCCCTTGTTATAAGAATCATATATTACTAATCATATATAACTAATATATAAAGCTAAACTTTTATCCAGACGATGAGGCAACAACACTTGGCGTTCCAACTTTTCGCCAAGTGTCGTGCCACGTATGATAAAGTTATATAGAATTCAATTTGTAGGATAAAAAAAGTTAGTTCAGAATTTTATTTTCAATCAAATTTGGATAGAATTTTAGGATAAAAATTGTTAATTTAGAGTTTTATTTTTGATAAAGTACCAATATTTCATATGTACAAATTGAATTATAATTTTATTCAAAAAATAATTAGATTATAACTCTCATAAATTATCATATAAATTTATTTTTTGTATCATAATATTTTTTTGGAGCGAAGGAATTAGTTCAAAATGTACCACATCCATTGTTTATAATATATTCTAATAAATTAAAATTATACTTCACAATCTAATATAATTTTATTACTGTGTGTAGACCTGTCAATCAGGTCGGGTCACGAGTCATTTCAGACAAGGTCATTATTTCAATTTACGGGTCAAGAAATGTTTTTCACCAATATTATTGTTATTAGTCATTACATGTGTACAAGTTTAAATCGTCACAAAAACACATCAATTCCTAAGTAATTTTGTATCAATGATATGTTTTAAAATTTGACATATAGATTAAAAATATATCTTAAAATCCATTAAACAACCCAGGCATCGCTCGGGCACAAAACTAGTACTTTCTATAAAGCTAAACTTTTAGCCATGTTACGAGGCAGCAACACTTGGTGTTTCAACTTTTCGCCAAGTGTCGTGCCATGGTGGATAGATTTAAATAAATTTCATAAGATAAAAAAGTTAATTTAAAAATTCTATTTGGATATAATTTTCGGATTAAATTGTTATTTTAGAGTTTAATTTTCGATAATATACCAATATTTCAGATGTAAATTGAATTATAATTTTATAAAAAAAAATTATTAGATTATAATTCTAAAAAATTATCAAATAAATTTATTTTTTTACAGCGCGTTTCTGGTGCGGCAGGCTGCACCATGCGGCAGGGTGCCAAATCAGCAAATGATAAAGTAACCCCCAGACAAATTAACCCCCAGACAAAAGTAACTCTTGATTGACTTAGTAACCCTTAACCAAGTAACCCCTGGCTGACCAAGTAACCCCTGTCCTGGTAACCCCAAGTAACCCCTAACCGACCTAGTAACCCCCGACCTAGTAATCCCAAGTAACCCTTAACCGACCTAGTAACCCCAAACCGACCTAGTAACCCCCGACCTAGTAGCCCTAAGTAGCCCCTAACCGACCTAGTAACCCCAAGTAACCCCTGGCTAACCAAGTAACCCATGTCCTAGTAACCCCTAGTAACCCCAAGTAACCCCTGGCTAACCAAGTAACCCATGTCCTAGTAACCCCTAGTAACCCCAAGTAACCCCTAACCGACCTAGTAACCCCCGACCTAGTAACCCATAGTATTCCCAAGTAACCCCTAACCGACCTAGTAACCCCCGACCTAGTAACCCTTGACCGACCAAGTAACTCCGACCTAGTAACCCCTGACCGACCAAGTAACCCCCGACCAACCGACACCACTAGTTGCACATTCACTCCCATACCAACTACCCCACGCCGCCAACAACCACGCCACCACCTGACCACCAATTTTCGTACCAACTGTGGTACCCACTGCCCCACGCCGCCAACAACCACGCACTAGTAGAAAATATCAAATTGGCACCGAGTAATGGGCTTCGGTTTTTAAAAACCGGTGGGGAAAAAAATGGGCGGGGTTTAGTTTAATAGAAAGGCCACCGGTTCACACCAAACCGGTGCCAAATTCCTTAAAGGGTACCGGTTCAAACCGGTGGCATTAAAAAACCGGCCTGTAATTTCTTTCCCCTATTCTTTCTCTTTCATTTTCTTTCTATCTCCTGACTGTCCTCATACGTCTCTCTCTCTCTCCTCTCTCTCTACTCAACCAAAACCCTAAGCCCCTTTCTTCTTCCTCGCCGTTCCCTTCTCTCTCCTCAGCCAAAACCCTAAGCCCCTTTCTTCTCCCTCGAATTCCCTTCTCTCTCCATTGAAGCGTAGATCCGTTATCTCTCCATTTAAGCCAGGGTTCGTTAATCAAGTGTCGTCGTTTGTCCTCCTTCGCAAGCGTCGTCGTTCCTCCTCCCTTGCAAGCGTCGTCGGGTCAATTATTCGAACCATGCATGCATAAACGAACCACCGCTGCCCTCCGTCGATAATCGGAAATTTGAGGTTAGTGTTTCTGGGTCCTTTAGCTTTGCGTTTGGTTCAATTATTCATGTTAAATTGCCTTTGTTTTGGTTAAGAATTATAATTTCAGATCTCGAATTTTTTTGGGAGGTTTTTTATGGCATTTTTCTGGGTGTTATTTAGTGTTTAGTGGGTTTTTTGGGGTATTTTTAGCTGATAATACGAGTTTTGATTTCGATTTCGTTGAGTTTTAGGGTTATGATTTTGGATTTTGTGATGTGGTTGCTGTGTTTGTGTTTGGGTTTGAGTTTGTATGTGATTTTTGATTTTGAGTTCGATTTTGTCCCTCTTGTTAGCTAATAATGGTAAGTTACATGAATGAGATTAAATTGGAATCGGGATTAAAGGGGATTATGGGTCTGATTTTGTTTTAGTTGCTGGAATCTGATCCAGGAGGAGTAATGGTCTATTATGTTTTGAGATCGAAGATTGGGTTTGTGGATGTTGTTTGTAGTTTCATCTTTGATGGGTTTTGATGCTTATATGTTTTTGATATCTGGGTGATTGTAGTAAACGGGGAAAGATGAAAGTGAGTCTCAACCGAGTTTCACTAGAGTTCAAATTGGACGAGTTATTGGGTTTCTTCAGAGAACATTGTTTCTTAACATGGTGAGAAAGCTCCTAATATTGTGTATCGTGGGAAGCTCAATGATGGCCATTGGATCGCCATCAAACGACTTCACAGGTCTGCTTGGCCTGATACTCGGTAATTTCTGGTATTAACTAATAGTTATTTTTAGCAAATTTTGTTTATGGGTTTTGATATGTATTCTTAATATTTGATGGGTTTTTGTCAGATTTGATTAATTAGGAGAAAATTGCTTTTTTTAGTATAGTTGGATGTTTGATTGGAATTTGATATAAAATGTGGGAGGTTACTAAAACTTATCATGCCACTATGCATGCTATTTGACATGGATTTTCATTTTATAGCTATGGACACTAGTACATTCCAATTTAGATGAGAAACATGCAAATTTTCAGAAAAGCTTCTTATTCCTATACTTGGATCCATATTCTAGTTAAATGTTTCTAGCCTGGTTAATCATGTTTGTAGATAGAGTGAAGCTGAAGCTTGTGTATTTATATTCTGGTGGATGTTCTTGTTGTTTATCTTATCTAGTGTACTGAACTGGATTAACCTTTAATGATAAAACTGATTTTTACCGATTAAAACATGTTAATTGATTCACTGGTATTATATGAAATTTCTGATTCTTAGGATCAAAATTGATATTTAATGAATAAAGATTATTTTAAGGTGAAGAGAACTAGTCATTGCACCAATTTCAAGCTAGCTAGAATGATGACCCTACCCTCATCTTAATCCCAAAGAAAGACACATTAAATATAATCTACGACTCTTCTTTGATCAATTGATGTGAAACTCCTAATCCCAAAGAATGATGACCCCTACCCTCATCCTAATCCCAAAGAATGATGACCCTACCCTAACCCAATATAGTTAATTGTTAAACTCGTTTACCTTCCTTTGAACTTGCCATCTAGTTATTTAGAGAACTACCATACCTTCCATTGGACTTGTCATTTGGTTTATTTATTAGGCAGTAGTAAAAAAGATGTAACATTTACTTTCTTGAGACATTCTCAGATCTTGGTGTCACATTCCTGTATTGATCTTCCTTTACATGTCTGATTGCTTTTCTGTTATTTGCTTTTTGCATTGTAATAATTTGAAAAAACAGGTCTGTTTATGGCCGAGCCCAGTCAGATGCATCATCAGTATCAGGTCAGGAGAGAAAAGATCCATCATGATACACGTGTATGGTATTTCTGCTCAAACTTTTACTCAGCGCAAATGATGGTATTGGACTATTGGTAAGTATCTTATATCCTATAGGAGGAATGGTCTTTAATCACTAATTACAAACATGTAAATTTTCTAGATTTTATTAAGTCCTATTGATTGTAAACGTGTAGTGTTGTCTTGGGGTTTTATATGTGAAGTTGTGAACCTTATGTTTGAATGGTTGTCTAATGGACATGGATATGTAGAAAAAAGTAATTGGCATTCTTATGAGGTTAAAATTTTCTTTAAGTGGTAGGATTTGATGAGAATCGTATTGCTTATCCCCTGAGTAGTGTGTGCATTTGATACGCAATTTGGGGTTTATCTTGTGTCAAATAGTGTGGATATGGGAATAATAGTTTGCTAAAAGCTAAGTGAACTATAAAGTATAAAAGACCATCTTCTTTTTGCTATCTTGTTTTTGCTTATGAGAGTCTTTGGTAATTGCTTATGGTGACTATCTTGTTTTGTATGGTGACTATCTTGTTTTTGCTATAAGAGTCTTTGCTAATCGATTTTGCTATCTTGTTTATGTTGTTTGAGTGTAAGTGATAGAAAAGTGTTATATATGATGCAGGGAACTTCTTATGTGCTGCTTCTGCTTCCATGTTACTGCTCCTGCTGCTGCTTCCATGTTGCTGCTGCTCCTGCTTCTGCTTCCATGTTACTGCTCCTGCTCCTTCTTTTCTTTATGTTAGGATTATTAATTCTATTTTTAAAGAAAGAGGAATTAAGGTTACAAATACCCCTGTTGTTTTGATTGATGATGTTGCGGATTTGTCGATTGGGCTTAGCTTGCTGTATTGCTTTGCTTTGGTGTTAATTGTATGATTGTTGGGTTATTAATTCTATAATTGTGTTGAAGTGGGATTGATTTGCTTTGGTGTAATTTGAGTAGAAAGGAACTAATTTCAAAGTGGATTTTGAAATAGGTTTTGATTATATTGTTTGGGGGTGGTAATTTGAGTAGAAAGGGAGCCAGTATCACATTGAATTGTTATGCTTGGTGTAATTTGGCTCTCTTGAAATTGAATTGGTTATGCTTTGGTATAATTTGAGTTGAGTAAATGCCAATATCACATTCAATTTGGGTTATCATCTTATTGTTATTAACATGTGTTAATGATGCATTTTGAAATTCTGTTAGCTCTGTTGATTTTTTCTATTAAGTTTTGTAGAAATTAGTGTAATTTGAGATAAAATGCTAATTCTGCTACTTCAGTTTTTGGTAAAAAAAAAATAAAAATTATTTTGCTGAATTTGCTATATGTAACTCATTGGGTGAATTTGCTGACTTAACTACTGTTGCCCTGCCGAGCCTGCTGCTGCAGCTGGCCTGGCAAGGTTGCAGCTGCTGCTGTCCTGCCAAGGCTGCTGTTGCAGCATCCCTAGCAAGGCTGCAACTGCTACTACTCTGCCGAGGCTGCTTATTTTGCTTAATTATTAATCTATAACCTTTAAGGAAAGCGAAGTAATGGAGGGAAGAGGGGGAGAAGCTGAATAAAAAATAAGGTTGGTCCTTTGTCCGTGTTAAGAATCTTTTAGAATGTGAAAATATATTTTGCCAAGGCTTTTCTTCTCAATCTTCCTTATTGCATGTATATATGGTTGAATTTAAGGTAGTATTGCTCTGCTTGTTGTCTTTGATTAATAAACACTTCGAGATCTCTTATCTTTGTTTGTTGATGCAGGTGGCTGTCGGAAGATGTTATCTATACATACGCAAGGCTGCTGCTGCCTCGGCTCGCTGATGCTGCCTCGCCAGGTGTTACATTGGTGATTTGGTGTGACTTGTATTTTTTTTTTTTTTTTTTTTGGACCAAAATTGTAATATTACAGCCTTTTTTTAATGAAAATATGTAAGTTTATATATATGTTAGTGTTTATATATCAATTTAAGTGGAAAAAATGCAAAAAAAAAAAAATTATTTATTTTTCTGGGCCATTTTTGGCACCGGTTTTGAATAGAACCGATGCCAAAAACCCCTTAAAAAAAGCGGGAATGGGTTATTGCCACCGGCAAAACCGGTGGCTTTTCAAGGTAGTATTGCCACCCCTCAAATGCCCACCGGTTCAAAACCGGTGGCATAGGGGGGTTTTGAACCTGTGGGCATTTGCATTTTTCTACTAGTGACGCCACCACCTGACCACCAATTTTCGTACCAACTGTGTTACCCACTGCCCCACGCCACCACCAGCAACCCCCACCAAACCACGCCCACCAACCCACACCAACTTGATCTGATCCCAAAACCCACCCTAACCACCAGCAACTCCGATCCCAAGCAAAACCACCCATACCAACCAAGCCCAGCAAACCACACTTAGCCCAACAACCCACACCACCCTCGAAACCACCAAAAACTAACACCACAGACGACGAATGAACCTCCCACGAAGACGATGAAGACGTAGATCGGCGATTATCTCAAACAATGACGCCTTCAATTGAAAATGGTAATCAAAGCTTTGATTATCTCCAACAATACCACGCCCACCAACCCACAATGATGCCTTCAATTGAAAATGGTAATTAAAGCATTGATTATCTCCAACAATGATGATTGGAATTTGTTTGATTATCGTCAACGACCAAGTAACGATTGAAATTTGCTTGATTTTTCATTTTTTTGAGGAAATTGGAATTTGCTGCACATTTTTTCTCGAGAAAATGAAGAGGAGAGAGAAAGGAGAGAGATTTTTTTTTTAAAAAAAAATAATATTGTGACTGGCCAGTCATATATGAAACTTTGTGATTTTTTTATATCATAATTTTTTTGGAACAAATAAAGTAGTTCAAAGCGTAAAACATCAATTTGTAATATATACTAATCGGTTAAAATAATATATATACTTCACAACCTAATAGAATTTTATTACTATGTATGTCAATTAGAGTCGGGTCATGAATGATCTCGAATTAAAAATATATCTTAAAATTCAATAAATAATCCGGGCATCGCAAATGGCACAAAACTATTAGAGAGATAAACTCTATTTGTTTTTATTCCCATCCCTTTAATATGGAATCCTGTTAAACAAACAAGAATTACAACATACATGGGATTATTATTTATTAATCCCTATCCCACCATTAATCCCTACAAACAAACAGCATGTTTATCGCTTCTTTTTTTGTTTTCATTCCTTTAGTCATGTGTGTTTTCATTCCTATAATCATTTGTGATTCATAATATGGATTGATAGCATGAACAAGTTTCCCAATTTAATAATTCACCATCGTTGCCAAGGTTGGTTTTAGTAGTCAATGCTTGAATATACTAGATAGCTAGGCACTAAATGTTCCACAAGAGCAATACGAATTACAAATTACAAATGAAGGTGGAAGAATTGAAATGTGACCTATTTTACACAGGCTCTCAAGTCTTAATACTCTTAACCAATAGGTCATGAGCCTAACCTTAAATTTCAATGATTACTATGGAGTACGCATTTCAAATTAACATACTTTATTACTATTTTGATACGAGTATATGCATTACTTTGATTAAAACTGTAGAACATTTGCTGGGAAATAAGTTTAACTATTAATCTCTTTAATTGCCAATTAGTAAAATTATATGAAAAATTTATTAAGAAAATAGATATTGTAAGCTATACAAAGTATATTACATAATACATACATTCATTATAATAAAAAGTTTAAGTTAAAAATAGTGGTGCAATATCAACAACTTGACCCAAAAATTGTCGAGGTTAAGGCAGATTTTTGGGCCCGTATTTTGGGCTAAGGCTGGCCCAATATTTTTTAATTTTTTTTGGGTTTGGTCATCCTAATTTTGTCTAGGCCAGAAAAATGGCCTGAAATAGTTGATTTTGGGCACATTTTTTTTGGCCTGACTTAAGCCCAGTGAAAAGCTTTGACCTAAAATGGGCCACAGTTTTCCTTCCTATGATCAGGTCTTGAACAAACTCAACGATGATGCACCTTTTGAATTTGATTTGATATGCAACTTAAAAATACTCACTAAGTCACTAGAATCTCAATGGTTGGGTAGTAGAATAATGGGGGTGGTGGGGTTGAACAAAAACATACAAACCAAAGAAATAATGGTCGAGAACAAAGAAACAAGAGAGAAAAGTGGAGTGAATTAGTGAAATACACCATATTATTTTCACATAAATTTGAAAAAGTAAGCAACATCATACTTCCTTTGAGTTAATGAGTTCCTCCCCTTTTTGTGTCAAATAAAAACAGAAAAGAGTTCCTTCCCTTTGTCTTCAACTAATTTGATGTTATTCTACACCCAAATGAGCACGACCATTATTGACAAAGAGTCAAAAATACATGAACATTATTGAAGATGAGATTAGGCGGTGTGAGGGTGGGCTTTTAATAGAGATTTATTTATACACCAGGTGTACATAGAGGTACCATATGTTCAGGGTAAAAATACCCATATACATGGACCAGTCCCGTAGCGACACGTGGCCCAATGAAGGGTGACACGTGTCACTATGGGAAGATGCCACGAGTTTAGGGCGCATAAAACCCTTGAAATCAGCATTAAAAAGGGGCCTTATTCCATCATGGCCCAAATCCCGAGCGCAAACGGCGCCCCATGTTACACGTGGCATTGCGTGATTGCGCAGCCAATCACGTCACGTAATTCTAGGGTAAAAACCCTAAAGGGGCACAAATTCCCACCCTTATAAATACCCCAATCATTTATGATGGGAGGGGTGGATTACGACGTTACAAGCAAGAGCATTAAATAGCTCCAACTTCTCTTTACTTTCTCTTCCTAGCCTTTTCTGTTTCTGATCATTAACTTGATCGTCGGAGGCGAATATTCCGGTAAAGGAATATTCGTTCTTTTGCATGTGTCTCAGTCTTGTTGGCAGAAGAGCGTGACCAGTATCCGAGGAAATCCAAAAATCACCCGAAACACTATATAGTAGAGTAGTTTTTTAGTTCATTTAAATTTCTTAAAATGAGCGCAACATATCAAATTGAATAAAAAAAATTATCATATTGAAATTAAAAATTAAACATTTTTTTTAATTTACAATTTGGTTGATAGAGATCGTGATAATTAAAGCGTAAAGAATAATCCATAAAAATTAAAAAGGAATAAAGGGAGTAGTCGTACTAATTTTCTATTTAAAATGGTTCAATGTAAATTAACTAAGGAGTATAGAAGTAACAACTTACAAAAGTTGGTTCAAGTAATAAGCAACTTAATATCCCTTAAAGAAGGTTTTGGATTCGAGCATTGCCGTATGCAGAAAATCTTGTTGTGAGACTCACCCATCATAAGCCAAGAGTACTACACAAGTCGGATCTGGATGTAGTTCAATGTAAATTCCGTCACACACTCACACCGTATTGCAAGCCACATACAAAATTCATTTTTAATTTAAAAATACAGCTATAACCTCATTTGGAAAATTTCTTTAAATAGCAAAAATAGGAGAGAGAATGACAACCCAATACCCAGTCACACCCCTCGTGACAGTGGATTAGCAGTACCCACTCACACTCACTCTCCTCTCCCACTCGTCAGTCCCTCTCATTCTCATAACAAACCAACACAATTATTCTCCCCTCCTTTTTATTTCTTTATTTATTATTATTATTATTATTATTATTATTATTATTATTATTTTCACCCTATTTTTAATTCCCCTCTCTCTCTTTCTCTCTCTCCGCCGCCGCAACTTCCTCCTTCCTCCACCACCTCTAAACCCTAACCACCACCTTCTTCTCGGCGAGGAGAGAGAATATCCCTTTCTCAAACCCTAATTTACAATTCTCTCTCTCCTCGCTTCCCCAATTTCCTTCGATCAATCCACCCTAATTCACAATCCTCAGGTAATGCTTTACTTCTTCTCTCGAAATCGCGCCTTTTTTTGTGATCTTCATTAACCTAATATTTCTTATTTATTTTTTCGATTTTTTTTGTTGTTGTGATTTTTTCTACATTCTAGGGTTTTCGAAAGTATGGCAGCACCTACAGTTCAATCTCAACCTCCTACTTCCTACATTCCGCCTGATGAGGTTGTAACTCCATTAATTTTCTTCTTTATTATTTGTATTTTGTGATTTTTTTTGGGAAATTATATTTATTTATTTTTTATTTTTTTTTTGGTTGTGATTTAGGTGGGAAATGCGTTCGCAAGGCAGTATTATACAATACTTCAGCAATCTCCTTCACTTGTTTACCGATTTTATCAGGATATCAGTAAGCTTAGTCGTCCTGGAGATGATGGTGTTATGGGGTTTACTTCTACCATGGATGTAAGCTTCTGTTTTTTCTCTGTTTTTTTATTGTTTTTGATTTTGTTTTTGTGGGTCATTTATTATTTCTTGTTATAATAATATATATAGCAGATTTTAATAATGTGTACTTGAAAAGCTGTTTATATATATATATATATCAGTATGTTGTGATTAGTTTCCACGTAATTGTAGTCTAGATCTATGTGGGATAAATGATGTTTGTTTATATTGTTAAATTATCAATGCAAATTTGTGGGTAGTAGAATTGTTAGCTTTTTTTTGTTTGTAATTAAATTGTTGGTTGTGTGTGCCCTGCTGATGAATAATCTGTGTGACTTTAGGATTGGATTCCGTTGTTTTTCTTCGAGTTAACTGTAATTTGATTTTACAGTTTTACACTGTATTTGGTCTTCTATAGTCTTTTGATTGGATATGGTCCATACGGGTCTTCTGCGACTGGGTGTTACGATCAGCATAAGTATCATTGAAGTCTTGTATTTTACTGATTTTAATATGTAATTATCGAATCTTCTTTTCAGTAAATAGTTCTTGTAATTATTTGGAAAGTGGTTACTGTTTGATATTTGCTCATATGAGATATCTATTGTTTGCAACTATCTAGGCTATCAATGCGAAGATACTGTCATACGGAAGTTTAAAGGCAGATATCAAGTTTGTTGATGCACAAGAATCCTATAATGGGGGAGTGATTGTTCTTGTGACTGGAACTTTGATTTATGCTGATGACACGAAGCGGGATTTCTTTCAGACCTTTTTTCTGGCTCCTCAGGATAAAGGGTTTTTTGTTTTGAATGACATTTTAAGATTTGTTGAAGATGTTCCTCATCAAAATGGGGGGCAAAATGGTAGTATAGCACCAACTGCTCCGATTCATGGTAATCAATTGTTTCTGTTTCTATTTGCTATCAGCTTTATGTAGGAGTTATGCTTCCTGTTCTGAAATTTCTTGCCTTGACTTTATTTTTTGTTAAAGAGACGCCACCAGTCCAAGAGAATCACATTATTGAAGAGTCCAATGGTGAAGTGTATAATCCTCATGAGAATGGTGTACTTCAAGTTGAGGTAGAGGAAGAAGAACCTGTGGCCGAGGTGGTTGATGAAGTTCCAACTGACCTACAGGTTGCAGTTGAATCCAAAGTTGAGGTTGAATCAAATGTCAAAGTTCCTGATGAACTTCCAAATGAATCACAGGCCCCTAAAAAGTCGTATGCTTCTATTGTAAGTAGTAACTGATAATCTCTCTAAATATTACACCGTGATACAGTTTACATTCTTACTCCATGTGCTAAAAAAATTGTTTTGTCTGGATGTGGAGGGTAACAGAAAAAAACCAGTATAAAGTTAATAGATACTTATTTGTCAATTTTGCAAGAAGTTAAGAAGGCTGCATTAATATAGGTTTGTAGTACTTCATGTTTAAGTTTCAAGCCCAAATTTTGCTCTTAATAAATCATAATGTATCATCCTATTGGAATTAGTGTGTGCTATTGTTTTGATTATTATGACTACTTTAGCTGTTTGCTTGTGAAGTATATTTAGTACAGAACATTTTGGATACCCCCTCCCCCCCCCCCCCGCTCAGTATTTCATTTTTTTCTTGATAACTTGGTTTTGTGGTGTTAAAGGTTATGAAAGACACTCCTGTTACTGCACCAACTCCGAACCTTCCAAAATCTGCGCCAAAGTCTCAAGAGCAACAAATACCTGTGAAAGCAGCTCCTGTGGCAGCAAACTTACCTCCCAGTGCTGATGTGGTTGATGATGGCAATAATCATGAGCCAGAAGGTAGCTTACTTATACGTTATTCTGATGTTATGAACTTTTCTCTGAAGACAGTCAGTTACTGTTAATACTTACTGCTACTTCCTTCACACTGCTTTTTGGCAGGTGAGGGTCACTCAATCTACGGTCACTCAATCTACATGAAGAATCTGCCTTTTAATGTACCGTATCTCGTGGTTGAGGAAGCGTTCAAAGCTTTTGGCCCAATTAAGAGTGGTGGCATCCAAATTCGAAAAAATAATGTAGGTTTGAAGTCCTTGGTTTTGGTTTAGTTGAATAGATTTTTTGCCCTTTATTAATTACTGAACTATGAGCTTATGTGGATTAGACTTTCAGTTTTGGGTTTGTGGAATTTGAAGTGGCTGGTGCTGCACGAAGTGCCATTGAGGTATGCCTTTTCACCATCTAGAAGTTGATGTTATGCCTTTTCTTAATGTATTCTATAACTCCTAGCATGGGTTGAAGTTGCCTGAATTAATTTTTTATTTTGTGATTTTTCTTTAAGATTAATTTTTAGTCTGCAGAACTGCACACTTTTGTTTTCTGTATTGGAACTTTGACAGCAAAACATATTTAGCTTTCTGTTATGATGTTTTGCTCTGATTTCTAAAATAGATGTTCAAAAATTGTTTTTAACTTTAGTTAGTACGAGGTTGCTTTTTAAATAATTATTATTAAAATGTCATTGCTTTGTGCTGAAGAAATTTTGGAGCTGAATGGTTGTCAGAAGAGCATAATATTCTGAAATTTCTGGTAATATTTATATTAATTGGTTATCTAGTGAATAATGGAATGAGCAGAAATTCTGCTAGTCTGAATTATAGCGTTGAGCTTCCCTTGTTAGCTTGATGATTTTTTATTTATTTTTTATTCTTTTATTCCCCTTGAGTTTTATCTGCTTTGTTATTTTACTGTTGCAGGCTTCACCCATTACAATTGCTGGACGTGAAGTTTTGATTGAGGAAAAGAAGTCCACTGGTTCCCGAGGTAAGTTTGGTTTCAGTGTAATATTTTTAATTGGTCATATATGTCTGTTGGCTCGATCCACTGTGTCTCATTCCCTGCAACTCTCTCTCCCACCCTGGGAAAAAAAAAAGGAGATGAAATGAAGAAATATTAGGGAAAAGGATGGTTGAAAAATGGTGGAGGGGATCTATGGAGTTGATGGATTGTGCACCTCCATTAGTGGATCATTCTGATCCCAGCTCAAAATGTTCTACATTATATCTGTTGTTCTGAAGGCTTACTAATCTGCTAAAGTGATTTTATCTGCAGGACCCATCCGAGGAAGGTTCCCCTCAGGAAGAGGTGGTGGTGGATTCAAAGGTGAGGGAGGTAGAGGGCATGGAGGTTATGGGGGAGGAAGAGGATATGGCCGAGGGGAGGGTAACAGGAATGATTTTGGAAACAGGGGAGGTGGCCGAGGTTACCATAACCGTAGTGAAGGGTTTCAAAGGAATGATCAAAATGGCAATGGAGCTGGGCGGATGAGTCGCGGTGGAGGTTCGGGTGTCAAAAGTTCGAGAGCACAATTTACACCTGGAGTTTAAGTGAGTTATCTATTAGATTGGGTAGTTTATTCAGGGGAGCAGTTTCTGCTTGATTTTTTTGTCACTTCTTTTGACAGGAATATTTTACTTCTTTATTCCTCCGATTCTAAATTTTGGCCGCTCTGCCTTTTGGAGATACACTAGATAGTATAAGAATGTTTTTGAGTAGAGTACCCTTTTAATGTGCATTGTAGGGGTGATGTAAGATCTAACTTCAGTTGGTATATCTAGCAAGTATTTAAGAGTCTTGCTACTATCTTGGTTGAAATTGTGGTATAGTAGGATATTACTGGTATTTAAAATGAATTGACTTTGAATTGATTATTTTGCACCTTCTTTTGTTTACATGTTTTTTTCCTCTTTTAGTTATGACTTGTTTAAAAAATGTGGATCTTATACGTTACTCTTTTAAGGAGCATTGTTCATTTTACTATCGATTCTTGTTTGGCGTTGAGTGGTAGGAAGTCCTGAAAAAAAGCGTAGTATGTATTTCATCAAAGATCCATATTTTATGAACTGCAGGGAGTCCTTGTGATTAAAGTGCAGTATGTATTTCATCAAAATACCACTAGAACAATGGCGTCGACATGTCATTTGGCTTAACTAATAGGTGCAATGGCTGATGATTAGTTACTAGTTAGCCATGATTACGTTAAGTCAGTCCTACAGATATTCGCCAACTGATACAAAGTTTGCTGCCGTTGCTGTAGAATGTCATCGCAATCATCTTTAAAGTTAAGGATTGTACAATATGAATTTGAGGCTCTGAGTATGGTTCACAAGTTAGCATGAGTTATAAATTAGAAATAAGATTAGGTCAACCTGAGTTTAAAACTTGAATCTTAATACCGTGTTTGCCCTGTTTGGTACTGCACACCGTTGAGTTTCTATACCTCGTACCTTCGCCTTTGGAATATGTAGAACCTGCAAATTTCTCCATCATACACAAGTTGAGGGTTTTAGGTGAACACACACTCAAGTTTTTTCTCCAAACAAAATGTGAAGTCTTTATCAATGGCATCATAAATCGATGGAAGCAATGAAGCATTGCCAGCCACTTTAGATATCTTTTATCCCGAAAGGACTAAATCAAATCTAGATTATGATACAAAGTACAAAAAAAAAAAAAAAAAAAAAAAAAAAATTCCTCTGTAATAAATGGACCTGTACTCAAATTTACGAGTAGCAAGTAATTTTTATACCTGTTTCTTTAATATGAATAATAGTACATTAGTATTTGCGAGACTGATGACACAGTTTTACAAAGTTAAGTGAACACTAGAGCAAGTAATCCACCAAAGAATCAGATCATCTGCTCTGAGCCATTACTCTCAAGGAAAATAATTTCTATGAAAGGCAACATGTGTAACGCATAAAACTCTTTTGCCAAAAATAACATGATGAATTAGAGCCAGTAATTTATAAGAGCAACAATATATTTATGAGCAAAATATACATTTAGTTGTGTAACATGAATTCTGAACTATAGTCCTGTCAAATTTTACATGAACAAATTATCAAGTTGCCTCGATTGGAAATCACAGCTAATAAAAAAACCCGAGCTTGAGTGCTAAATCATATGGCATGAACGAATTCTACAATTGACCAAAAATTTCCTACATAGCAGATGGAAAGTAACTAGATTTTCAAGTGAGTGGAAAGTGATGATGAGAAGCTTACGAACTTGACCGCCTTTATCTAGCAAATATTCAGTGAATATTTCCAAAGAAAAGCAACTAAAGAGAGAAATTGCAACCCTGAACATACTCGTTTTCAGTGTCAACATACTTTGTCCAAAGTGGTTTGAATTGGCCCATGGCAATATCAAGCCACGGCTTCATATTTCCATTGAAGTGCACAACTGCAGCATTGCGGATCTCATCCCAGCTAATGGCTGGATTATAACCAAGTCCAAGAACATGCCATGATTTGTCAAGTGGCTTGGTTGTCGAATAGAATGTGATCAGACCTGGGGGCAGGGTCCCAAGTTTCCACAATGTACGATTTTCATTCTGCATCAATATGAAATTATTGTTGTCAATAAATTGCACAATAATACTCTTTAACCAAATTTCACCAAGCAAGCAAACAAACAGAAAGACTACACTTTTCAAAAACACCCTTATCAGTTAATGAATGGATCCACATTAAAAAAAGCCCGCAGTTTTAGAGCACTGTCAAGAGGATACAGAACATGGTTCCTCAAGCCACTCACTAAACTTTGGCAGTATCTAACCTAAGACGAAGACTGAAAATGCGATCTAACTAATTTAAGATACTTGAAGGACTAGTAACATATTCAGATATACTATTCATCTGACTTCAAATTGCCAAAAAAATTTCTTCTACACCCAAGTATCAAATTATGAACACACAACCGCATACACATACACTCGCACACTCAAAATCACGAGACAACTGTATGACAGGAATTGTAGAGTGTAGACTTGTATTTCCTAACACATTACTAAACTATTTAGTTATAGTAACTGGGGTTGGAATCACCTCCTAGAGTACTTCACCATAATTGTAACTATTTATACATGTGTTACCATCAACCAAGAGAACATAAGCTGAAAGACATATACAACTCAAATATAGATAAAGGCATTCATAACATAATGTCCGCAATCAACAAAGGAATCTTACCATGTTTTGCCAGTAGTGGTATTGCTCGGTTGAACCTTCCTTTCTCCAAGCATCCAGATCAAAGAAATTCATACCATATGCCCATGCACATGCTTTCGGATTAAACTTCTCCTTGATCAGGGGATGTGAGAAGTTCATGTATTGAGCATATCTGTGAAATGAACCGAAGCATGTTTCAACTGCTCCATTTACTTTCCCATCCATATCTATCTCCCATAACCCAGTCAAATCTTTCTGCACAACAATATCATCATCCAAAAACAGAATTCTATGTAATTTAGGATACATCTCAGGCAGATAGAACCTTAAATGGTTTAACATGGACAAGTACTTGGGGTTCCTAAACTTCATATTGGTAGTATCCTTCGTAGCATTCTCAATTTTGTTCTCAAAGTAAAATTTCTGCAAATTTGCAGACTCAAGTTGCTTAAGAACTGGCACATAAGATGAATTTAAGAAAGTGTAATCCTCGTATGCCTTCACCTCAATGTGAGCTCCACTATAATCCTTCATTTTCATCATAACCTGCATTGCCCCTAGATTCATTCTGTCTGTCACAACATGGAACACGTGTTTAGTGGGGTCTTTTGCATTCTTCACCGCTGAATTTACCACCACGGAAGCCGCAATAACATTATCCGAAAATATGGCATAATGATATAAGTTAGGATCCTCCAATGCAGGCATAGGAGCTTTGCCCTCATCAGAATACTTCTCTGGCTGTGCAATTCGCTCTTCCATCAACCTCATGGACAAGCAGTGCAAGCTTTTAGGTATAGACTTTGCAGCAATCAAGCTTGAAAATGCTCCTTGCTTCTTTGCCTTGGTTAACTGCTCATTCAACCCGAAAATTGTGTCCTTCAGCTTCTGAATCTTAAGCTGATGATCAAAAGACTCCTTGGCTTCAGCAATCAATTGCCTAGTGACCTTGATCCGCTCCTTAACCTCCTTCTCAAATTGGCGCAACTGATACTCATCGATAGAGAGAGCATCGGACTCAAATAGAGCACGATAAACAGGCTTACTTAAAAGATCCGTGTAGTTTCGTGAAAGATCAGCAAAGATCCTCAACATCTTAGAGTTCTCAAGTTTAAGCTTCCTGGCATATGATGCATATGCCAAGACGAGATTCCGGTGATCATCAGCTTGCTTTTTAATTTGATCAACACGAGGCTTTAACGGATCAGATTTCAGTGCCAGCACCGATCTCCGAATTGATCCACCACTAATCCACTGAGCATTATAACCCTAATTTCACAACAGATAATCAATCTATCAACAAAAACATACTTATTTTTCCAAATTAACAAAGAAATTATAGCCTGCAGCAATCAACTTCACATCAAAACAAATCAATCGCACTCCACAATTTCCTCGCCAAATCTTTCGAATTAAATTCACAGCAAAACAATTTAGCAAAATATTCGATAAAAAAGGACAAGCGCTGTAATTATAATTATAATTTCTCAATAAATATCAACCTAGAACATTAAATAATAATAACAATTAAGTGCAAATTAACACGAATAAATGAAGCAAATGCGGCATTAAAATAAACAACAGCACAGTTCAGATCGATTTAACACTAAAATTAGCAACAAACAATGATCGATCTAAGAAATTTGATCAAGTTTAATAACAAAAAATGCAGAAAACAGATCTAAATCAAACTTACAGAAGTAGCAACATCGGAGAAATCGGAATTATGAGTGAAGACGAAGGAAGAGAGAGAAAATAAAAGAGTAAGAGCAACGGCAATCGACGAAGCGAGGAGTTTATAGGTAATCACCGACACTCCATGCTTCGCCATTGTTGAAGCTTCTTCGTAATTTCCACCTTGTTGTTGAACCCAGATTGTAGAAAGAGAAAGTGATTGCGTTTCCAGAAAAAAGGTGTTTACATTTAGATGAGAGAGAAAGGAAGGGTTTTTGCGGAGGAGAGAGAAAATGAAAAATGGAAAGAAAAAGGGATTGATAGTTTTTCGTCGGTGGTGGGAAGGGAATGAGCGCGGGTGAACAAAGAAAGGAAGAAAAGGGTGGCTTTCTTTGCCTACAGCTAAGTGAGTGAGAGGGTAGAGTGAACTAGTGAAGTGAGTTTATTTTTTTTTTTTTTTTAAAGGTATTGGATTTGATTGATGGGTTGTTAGATGGCATTTAATAATGGTTTTATTATACGAAGTAATAATGACGGTTTATATCTCCTGATCTCGAAAAACGCGTTTATAAACTGTAAGGTTGGATTATTATTTTGAGAGAATGGGTGAAAGATTGGATTATCATTTGGGGATAATGCGTGAAAGGTTGGATTATTATTTTGGGAGGATGGGTGAAAGGTTGGATTAGTACAATTTTATAAACTACAGTTCTAGTACATACAAATATACAATGATATGATCGATCTTTATTCATAGAATTACATATAGTGAATTAGTGCTTACTTTGTTGTATTCCGTAATAGTTATTGAATTATTTACCAAGTAGTTTTTACTAATCTATCACAAGAAAATATTATCAGGAAAAAAATATTGACTTTATTTGTGTGTTTTCACCATATTAAGGGTTTGTTCACATTTACTTAATTTCAATTCAGTTCAGCTCCAATCAATTCAGTTCAGTTCAGTTCGGCTCCGATCCTAATTTCCCTCTCTCATAAAATATACATTTCAGGTTAGTTTAGCTCACTTCAGCTCTAATTAGTTCAACTCAGTTCATAAATATGAACAAGCCATAAATTTTAATTTTTTTTTACTAATATGTAACCATAGATATTAATAATATGAAGTACTGGTATGATTTAAGTTGTGGATCGATAAATATAATTGTCAAATTGTTGAAGTATTATATGGATATGAAGAAGTATTTTTTTTAGAGGGAATAATGGGCATCATGTTGTTGGCCTAACTAGAGTATAATCTACAATTGAGGTAAGAAGATGACATGAGAGAATTAGAGAACGGTTAAGAAATGTAACTTATTAGGCTTCAGTTTTCTATTAAGAGTAGTGGGTAGTTAAATTAAATAAAGTTGATGTTTTTAAAAAAAAAAAAATAAAGTTGATGTTGATTACTGACAGATATGGAGTCATGGATCATGTCTCATGTCATGTGCATTACATTCATTGTGTGATTGATTTCATTATAAGTACTCCGTATTTCTCTTTTTCCAAGTGTTTCACCCTTGTTTTATTAACTTTGACTCTAACAAATGAAGTCAAAATTAGGGATTTTACGTATTTGTAATTTTTACTCATATAAATTGGTTTGTTAATGGGAACTAGAAGAATTCAATTCTTAATTCTTTATCTACAAGGACTACAACCAACTAAAATAAATTACTACCACAAAACTATAATATTTTTTTAAAAAAAAAAAAGTGAAAATCCGATTACATTTTCATACCCTGATAACAAAGTAGGAAAGACAAAAATACATCAAGGGAAGGGCAAAAATTGGATTTAATAATGACGTCTATTTATCGATTTCATACATGTCAATTTTCATTATTGAAATGACTATAGGTCTATTACTGAATCATGTTTTATAGTTTATACAATGTACATATCAAATAATTCACGTTTCACAGACATAATAGGAAGAACTCCACAATCTTCAACTATATTTTTGGCCGATGCAAGACTAAAAAGACTACTTTATAAGCCAACATGGTAACACTAAATTAAATAAAAATCCAAACAGAGGCTTCTTAGCAAATTGCCCAATATAAGCAGCAAATGGTATATTCCACAATAAACTGTTATGGATTCTACATCTCTCACAATTCAGAATATAAGTTAATAAGTTATGATACCCAAAAGATAAACTAAAGGCCTGTTCTGATTTATTAAAATAAGCTAAACGGAACTGAATATTTTATGCGAAAAAGAAATTAGAAAATGAATTGAACTGAATTGATTAGAGCTGAACTGAACTGAACTGAAAATAAGCTGAAAAAAAAACAAGCTCTAACAATTTATGATTGTACGTACATTATGAAATTGGACATAATTTAATCTAACAAAAACACCAAACTAATATTCTTGCAAATCTTTGATGAGTTTGTGATAGGCAACTGATAACACCTATCCACAGACAACTTATGGCACATGCCCAAAAAAAAAAAAAAAAAAAAAAAGGAAAAAAAAAAGAACTCACTTCAAGCAATCACCAACCTTCTAGTTCTTCGTTACTTTCTTGTGTTAATGGTTGTGCCGAACTAAACAAAAATTTCACCGAACGAATTCCTAATCATGTTATGTTAGTATTCCATTTTGGCCCTTATTACCGATCTAAGACACAAGAAATACTGATTTATTAGCTCAAGAAAAGCCAAAGGAAGTGATATCGGTAAAGCCATCTTAAGAAACCAAATATTAGGCACAAGCTATGATGATCTGAATTGATTGGAGCTGAATTATATTGAACTGAACTGATTGAAGTTAAACTGAATTGAACTGATTTTTTTTTTAATAGGAATTGAACTGATTGGAGCTAACTAAATTAAACTAAAGTGAAATTAAGTGAAGTGAACATGCCCGAAATTTAACACTGACTTTATCATGGACTAGAACCGTAGTTTATAAAATTGTACTAATTTTATGGATAATGGTTAATACTCCATCCGTTTCAATCTGTTAGTCCCATATACTATTTTGGGCGTTTTAAAAAGATTTACCCATATTAAATGTATTCCACTTTTAAATTAGTTTTTATTTCCTATTTTAATTTATACATATTAAATTCTGATTGGTTAGATTAATTGATTGTGAATTAATGACATGACTCTAACTAAAGAAATTACTCTCTTGATTTATGCAATTATGACTAATGCTTTCCTTAAAAAAATAATAATAATAATTAATAAGGCAAAACTATTCATGAATTGCTTTTTAGCTAGATTCTAAATATTTTTTTTTCTTATTTTATGTGATTGATTCCTTATGGACTATCATATAGAAACGGAGGGAGTATTAGTATTGTAATATCTTTTCTAATTTGATTGTTGATCAAAATTCAATCCAATAAAATCTGCAAGTACAAGATAAAGCTAATAAGGGGAACGAACAGGAAGTTTTATCTAAATGATAATATATTATAGATAACTGAATTATTAAAATAGCTTTATGGAAAAATTAATAAATACCATAGTGATTAGTGGAACACAATATACTATTACCCCAAAAACAATATACGAAGTACATTCCTAATTAAATAAAATAAACCATACGTATTACTAAATATAATAATAACTTTCTTAAATTAAATTAAAAATTTATTAGGTATAATAATTACTTTCTTAAACTGATTAAAGAGGCTTTTATTGGATTAATTATCAATTAATTATGGTACAAGAAATTGAAAACTTTTATATAGTAGAAGATAATCAAAATAAATTTATGGATATTTTTACATCAACCAAATCCTAAATCAAAACGGATTAGGATTGAATATCACTTAATTGCTTATTATAAATACCCCTCCATACATTCATCAATCCTCACCCTAATTTTCAATTCCTTCTTTTAGCCTAAAAACTCCAAATTTCAAGACTAGTTCATAGTTCATCATTCATAGCTAAACAATGGCAAAAACACCTTCAATCGTGTCTTTTGGAGAGATGTTGATCGATTTTGTACCGGATGAAGCCGGTGTTTCGTTGGCTGAATCTCGTGGATTCATCAAGGCTCCTGGTGGTGCACCCGCTAACGTTGCATGCGCCATCACTAAGCTCGGTGGCACCTCCGCCTTCGTAGGAAAGGTAATATTATTCCATTACCCTTTTATCTTTGTATCACAATATAATACTCGTAAATTTTTTTGCAACCTTATTAGCGAAATATTATTCGCCCCTTGTGAGAAGGGGATCCTAATCTTTTCCTTTTTTATACCCTTAAAAGAAAAGGTAAAATTAGCGATAACATTATTATTCCGAATTGAATTAGTATGATTGCTAGTAACACAATAAACAAGTTATTTATCAACCATTAATTTAAATCGAATTAGTTGATTCGTAAATATTTTTGAAACGAGAACCTTTTTTTTTTTTTTTTTTTTTAATCAAGAATGCTGATAGATTATTGTATAGTTACCCAATTTTTTAATTTCTTATTTGTTTTGATTTGATGATTTAAATTAAGGTTCAATTTAAAGATTATCAATATTTTGATTAATTGATTATATGTTATTAAAATATCGTGTTGATTTGCTTGATCAATGAAAAACCCTAATAGTATGTGTACTTCTAACTTTTAAATTCACTAAATTCGTGAAATTTTCTAATAAATTGATTTCATGTTTAAATTTACCTAATTGTGTTATAGGTTGGGGATGACGAGTTTGGTAAGATGCTCGTGGACATACTCGATAAAAATGGTGTAAACACCGAAGGAGTGTGTTTCGACAAGGTAGCTAGGACTGCCCTAGCATTTGTTACATTGAAGAAAAACGGTGAAAGGGAATTCATGTTTTACAGGAACCCTAGTGCAGATATGCTCTTAGAATCATCGGAGTTACCTCTTGACCTAATCAAGCAAGCTAAAGTGTTTCACTATGGCTCGATAAGCTTGATCACTGAGCCTTGTAGGTCAGCTCATATCGCGGCTATGAAAACTGCTAAAGAGGCCGGGGTTCTCCTTTCTTATGACCCTAATTTGAGACTACTTCTTTGGCCTTCCCCTCAGGCTGCTAATCTGGGTATTATGAGTATTTGGAATGAGGCTGATATCATTAAGGTTCGTTTGTGCTCTTTAACATAATGATAATCTTAATTTTAATTCTAGTCTTAACATTGATTGTTATAATTAAAATCTATATTGCTTTGATTGAATTAGGTGAGTGATGAAGAGGTTGAATTCTTAACCGGTGGAGATGCTAGTGATGACGAAGTGGTGAACAAATTGTGGTTCGACGGCCTCAAGCTCCTCCTTGTTACATACGGAGAGAAGGGTTGTAGATACTACACCAAGGTTTGTTATACTTGTTTATATGTTGTTATACTCTTGCATAAATAAAAGTATAATTAAAACTTTTGGAAAAGAAAATTGATTATTGGATGAAATTTGAATAATTTTTCAGGATTATAAAGGATCATTGAAGGGTTATTCAGTAAACACTGTTGATACCACAGGAGCAGGAGATGCATTTGTTGGTTCTTTTCTCTATTCACTTGCTAAGGATTCTTCAATTTTGAAGGTAAAACTAACCATTTTCAATCCTCAATTCGTCCTATTACATACATTGCTCTAATGTTCTTTAAATAACATACTTTAGTCCTTTTGTTTAGATCTTTTGGTTCTATTTTTATGTTGTCAATTAATTAATTTATACAACAATATAAAACAGGATGAAGATAAGCTAAAGGAGGCGTTAACCCTGGCGAACGCTTGTGGAGCTCTTTGCACAACCCAGAAGGGTGCCATCCCCGGACTCCCAAGTTTACCTGCTGCACTTGAGCTGATCAAACAAGGAAATTGATCGAAATTCTATTTTAAATAATAATTTGCTCATGAATAAGACTAGTTTTAGTGTTTTTGTTTTAAGTTCAAACAATAGTGTTTTATATTTTGAAAGGTTAAACAATGAAGATCTTTTCTATGCTTATATATCTCTTGCATTTGTCTTTTACACACTTTCTCATAATTTTCGTCGATAATTTAAGAGTTTAGTACACAATTTAACTTGTATACATGAAAATCACGAAGACCTATACTTTGTACTCCATACTATGTACATCGTACTAGGCTAGATCAAGTTACCTTGGCTGAACAATTCTTGGTACCACAACTTATACAGTATGTTGCATAAGCTTGCAACAACAAAATCGATTATCAATGTGTATGTTTCCTGATGAAAGTTTTAAAGTAGGCTTTTTTCAGGTAAAACTAAGGGGACATCATAATTCTTCTGATGTATGATTATCTTTGTCATATCAAAGGCGAAACACAATCCATAATTTCTCTTATTACAAGTATTTTACTCCGTATTTGGGTAAGGAGAGTTTTCTTACAAATAAGATCGATGGAGATCTTACTCGTTTTCTTACAAATAAGATCGATGGAGATGTTACTTATTTGGGGTGAGAATTGAACCACTCGGGATGGAAGGAGGGCCAATGCCATACGAACTTTTATTGATAGCAAAGCAATAATCTGATTAACAAAATAACAACCAACCCAAAATCTAGTGGATGATTTGGTGTACAATCCTTAATGGATGATTTTACAAACCTTAACATGATGTACAAAACTACAAACCTTATTCACAAGAACAAAACATATTTACTCATTTTTTTATTATTTTTTTCAGTGGATGATTTTATTAATTTCTCAAATTAAAACATTTATTTACTGCTTCGTATACATTACCAAATTAACCAATAATCATACAAAGAAATATAAAAACATTAAAACAAAAAATTCCCAAAAAAAAAAAAAAAAAAAAAAAAAAAATTACTTGTACCCTTTTTTCGCTTGCTTTCTAACATGATTTTGTAAAAATCCAATCCCCTTAAAAGCCTTAGAAAATTTCATCCCCATACTTAGATTCATCTTCCCAGCAGACAACTTCAAAGCTTGTAAACAACAAAATTTACCATTATCTTCATAATAATCATCTTCATCTTCATTAATCATCATTAAATCCTCCATTTTTTCTTCCTTCTTCTTTCCTTTTTTAGTAACCTCTTCAACCTTCTTAGGCTTATTAATCTTGTTTAACAACTCTGTTTCATAAGTTTCCCATAACAAATCCATACCTTCTTCACCTCCTCCTCCATTAATAGCTGCTTGATTATTGCTCCCATTATGCCTTTCTTCAAAAATCTTACATGCCAAAGTTCTTCTCCATTCTTTTTCTTTCCTCATTGACCCAAAACTCCCCATATAAGGTTGCCCGCCAAGTGTTTGTGAAAATGTCTCAGTGAATTTTTTCTCATCATCAACCTTAAATGACCTGCTTTTTGGTGTTTTATTTGCCTCGGATCCTATTTTTGACTCAACTTTTTTCAATTCTTCTTCTTTTTTAACCTTTTTGGGGTTTGTGCCAACTTTTTCTGTCTCCATAGTCAAACTTTCACACAAATCCCCTGTTCCTTTTCCCACAGTTGAAGCATTTTCCTCGAAAAATTCAACTGGGTATTCTTGAATCTTCTCAATTTTTTCTGGGGTTTGTTGAATTTGTTCAATCTCAACTGGGTTTTCTTCAATTGTGGGAATATCGAAGACAACCTTGTAAACTTCAAACTCTTCAATGTGGGTTGAATTCTCATCTTCATCCTCTGAATTTGGCCGTAAATTCTCTGAAATTGAATTGTAAGCTGTAAGAAGTAAACCCTCTTTGGAATTGATGATGGATTTGAGTGGAATGATAGTGGTAAATAGAGAAAGAAGAAGAAGAGAAGTGGTGAAGAACAGAGGAGAGAGAAAAGATAGGAGTTTGATGAGGTAAGGGGAGAAGAAGATTAAGTAAGAGAAATAGAGTGGGTGAGATAGAATAAAAGAGCAAATGTTAGTGAATTTAGAGGAATTCTTCTTGGTTTTTGTGGTAGATTTGGTGCTTTGAAAGCAAAGTTCTGTCATTGTTGTTGAATTTGGAGAATGTTTGGAAAACAGAGGAGTTGAAAAATATGGTGAAAATGAAGGTTTTGATTGATTTTTTGTTTAGTTGTGACTGTGTTTTGATGGAATGGTCATTGAGAGAAGAAGAAGAAGATGATGGTAGGAGTTGAAAGAGAAGTGAGAATTGTTGGCGTGAATAAAGGAGAGGGAGTGGAGAGAGAGTGAAGCTAACTAACTGATTGGAAAAAGTGGATGATTGTTATACTCAGTCACTGGATTACTTTATCCATTTTATAAATCACTGATTGACTGAGACACTGAGTATAAGTGAAATATAACATGTAATCCCTCATGATCGTATTATATGTATTTTTACAATATTTTATACAGTATTTCACAAATAATATCCTAAAGTTGCATATAATATATTATATGTAATATTACAATATTTTAACATGATCCAGAGTAGGGATGGCAACGGGTCGGATCTGGACCGGGTCTGGATGGACCCGGATCCAGATCCCTTTTTGTATATAGGATCCAGATCCGACCCTGATCCGAATCCGTTGGGTCCAACGGATCCGGGTCCAAAACGGGTCTAATATATTTTGCATAATTTTTTGCAATAAATGTAATGTTCGGGTCAAAAAAATTTATTTTAAACTTACGTTGTTGGCTATTAAAAAATATGATGTTACATATAAGCTAGTGAAAAAACAACGATGATGTATATAATATGAGCATCCAAAATTCATCTCTTGAAAAGGTTAATCTTTATCACTACTAACATTATCAACATTTTTAATAAAAAAACAAACAATTTTATTTTTTTTTAATAGGAAAAATAAAAAAACGGGTCCACGGATCTGAATCCAGCTCTAGGGCCCAAACCCAGATCCGTTTTTGTCAGCAGGACCCGAATCCGACCTCCGTCGAGTCCAAAATTTGAAGACCCAGATCCGTGAAAAACGGATCTGAATCCACGGATCCGGGTCGGGTCCAGATCCATTGCCATCCCTAATCCAGAGGTAGTACAAGAGTATTAGCTTTGTGCATTATTTTATACAAGAGTATCGGCTTAACTTGATTTTTTTTATTATTATTTATATTTTTATATATATATTTCGTCTATTATACTCCGTACTAATCATAATACAAGTATAAAATATTGTTGGATTACGAACATATGCTTAAGTAACTGAATCCAGATAATGCACTTATTAAATATTTATTACGGAATAGCTACTAATTTTGATTTGTTTTTATTTGTAATTACCGGATTATTTCAATTTTTTTTTCTTCTTTGTTTTGGCAACTCGTCTCTTCTTGTAGCTGGAATCTTTGGAAAGATTATTGTGTGATGATCTAGATAAGTGAAAATAAATAAATAAAACAATAGTTGGTGAAAAGGTTAATAAAAAAGAAATGTGTGAAAGGTTATGTTAGCATCATCATCGAGGTAATGTTTTTGTCATCTAATGTATAAAAGAAAAATATGTGTTATTCACTAGTTAGTCCCTTAAAAATTCATATTGTAATTCAAAGGTGATTAAACCTTCATCCTATATATCATTTTGATCTCTTCTTGTATTAAGGGCGCCAATGTGACCTCCAATTTTATGGCCTATAATGCACATAATTGCGCCTCGTATACTTGAGGTTGAGCTATGGAGTAGTTAAATAGTGGCCTTTATCGTTCTTCATCTCCGAGTAGAAGTATCTAGGTGATTGAGTTGATGATAGACTTAATTGATATTATCCGAGTAGAAGTATTGATGATAGACTTAATTGTACACATAATCTTATCCCTCTTCGTTTAGGTCATTTTATAACCAGGAATGAAAAGTTAAATACGGAGTATATATTATCTTGGTGATTGAGATGATGAATTCATTTTTTTTTTCTTTATGAAAGAGACGGATAAGGGTCTGTTCTCATTGACTGAATTCAGCTGAAATGAATTGAAATGAATATTTTATAAGAGAAGGAAATTAGGAGCTGGACTCGACTGAATTGAATTGAGCTGAACTGAACTGAACTGAAAATAAACGTATGAGAACAGGCCCTAAGTCCTCGAGTTGGAGAAATTATACTCCGTATCATATTAGTATAATACTTATCTCATTTAATAAACCAATAATAGTCCGTTATAATAAACTCAAAAACGGAAATTGAAACTAGGACATGATTTACTTTGGATCAAAATCAATACCTGGCGCTTTCATCATAATATAGCCTGAGCACCAGCTGCTCGACCACATGTTCTAACTTGAGTAACAACATAAGCTACATAACTACCCATGAGTGATAACTCAAAACAATAAACTTTCTTACACTTCTTGGGCATGCATAAGATATACTTCGTACGTAGCACTTGGTAAATAACACCTCCAATCCTCCATGCATCATATTCTAATACCAAACAGATTTATTCTTATACTGCTTATTTTATTTTATTTTTTTCTATTTTTATTTTATTTTATTTTTTTCTATTTTTATTTTATTTTATTTTATTTTTATTTTTTTGTGTGTGTCTCCAATTGTGTGTGTCTCCAATAAAGAGATACTCTTATTATGCACAATAAAAGGGTATTATTATAAGGAAAAAAATATTTCTTTTTGCACAATAATAAAAAATAGAGATAGTTATTCTACGGATTAGAGTATATTACTAATTTACTATGTTCAAATTAGTACTTTGGCTTTGATTTTCTTGTTGCTTGTATTTTAGTCAGAGGTGCTAATCGAGCGAGTCGATCACGAGATGAGGGGTACTCGACTCGACTCGAAAAATTTATAGATGTGCTCAATTTATGCTCATTAAAGTTTCGAGTCGAGTAGCTTACTGTCTACTCGTTAAAGTTTTGGCCCTTAAAATAATTATATACCTTTATTTTTTCGTTCACTTATATTGTTTTCTTTTTTATATATCTTTATTATAAAGATTTACTCTTTCTTTTTGAAGATATAAATTAGCACTTATAAAGTGTCAAATTTGTTTAAATGATAATTTTTTTTTTTTTTTGTAAATTCTATATTAATAAAACATATTATCGAGTTACTTACGAGCTTATCGAGTCGAGTTAGAGATGCGTGCTCATTTACATCTCGAGTCTAGTTTTGATCGAGTCGAGTTTGAGTTGCTCGCAAGCTAATCAATCTAATCAGCACCCCTAGTTTTAGCTAGGCAGGAGAAAAAATTACTCCTATAAATGAGGTCACATCTTGCCATCAAATCAATAAAATTACTAATGATATTCTGATCTCTTCTTATGGAGGAAGTATAAATGTAGTGTTATTGTCTCACAACATACAAAATTATAACTAGGAAGAGTGAGAAAGGAAGAGAGAGATAGAGAGAGTGAAAAAAAGGGTGGAAGGGGGCCCACCTTTTTATCAGAAAGGTTTCACGTACAAAAAAATACAAAAAACAATTGGGACCACAACTATTGATATCATATTTTGTACCACTGAGCATTTTTGTAGGTACCACTGAAATTGTATTGTGTATCACTGAGAGTGTATTTTGTACCAGTGAATCTCTAATGATATTATTTAACAGTCTAATGAGACATTTGAACCATTTTTGATATACCGTAGAAATTTTATTTTGTACCACTGGGAGTGTATTTTGTAACACCGAATCTATAAAGGCAAAATTTAAATTCCACATAAAATGACCAACATGCCCCTATGAGACACTTTTATATGTCTCTCAACCCTCCGTTTGGAAAGCCTCCTTCTTATGTACTACCTCCGTTACATATTATTTGCAACGATTTGACATAAAGTAGAGAGGAAAAATGTCTAATCGTTGCAAATAATATGTAACGGAGGTAGTAGGTTTTTACTGAATAAAACTTAAATAAGGTCTTGCCATCAAATCTGTAAAATTACTAATGATATTCTGATCTCTTCTTATGTAGGTTTTTACTGAATAAAATTAATTGAATATGTTTTAAACTAATTCTAGGTTTCAAAAAAAAAAACTAATTCTAACTCATTGAAATTATTGTATGCTAGTAATTATAGTTTTAGCTAGGTTGAACTATTCAATTGAACATAGCCTTAATTTGTAATTTTAAGATGAAAAGAATATGTGGTAAATCATATGGTGGTTACCGAAATGCCACAATTAGGGGTAATAATCATGACTTTATACCAATCAACCACCATCTAAGCGCTTGCCATCGGGGTTTTAGTTTTTAAATAGTGAATCCACATGAATTTAGTAATCATTTACTTGTCGACACATTTTTTTTAAAAAAATTTACATAATAGTATTGTTGAGGGTAAAAACACCTCGTCTACGTGGACCAATCCCATAGTGACACGTGGCCTAGTTATAGGATGACACGTGTCACCACGGGAAGATGCCACGCAATTCAAAGCCCTTAAGGTCTCAGGTCAATCTCGTAGCGACACGTGGCCTAGTCAGAGGGTGACACGTGTCGTCATGAGAAGATACCACGTGTTTAGGGCATGTGTTCCCTCCTTAATCAGCACGCCAGAAGGCCCTAACAACGTCAGGGCCCAAATCTCGAGAGATATCAACGAAAGCCGCAAAACGGCGCCCTAGAGTAGCACGTGGCATTCACTGATTGCGCAGCCAATCACGCCACGCAAATCTAGGGTACAAACCCTAGAAAGGGGCACGAGTCCCACCCCTATAAATACCCCAATCATTTATGATGGGAAGGGGATTAAGACATTTACAAACAACAGAGCATTAAATAGCTCCAACTTCTCTCTACTTTCTCTCTCTAGCCTTTTCCGTTCTGATCACTGACTTGATCGTCGGAGGCGAATATTTCGTTGATCGGAATATTCGTTGTTTTGCAGGTTGGACCGTCTCGTTGCCAGGAGAGCGTGACCAGTATCCCAGGAAATCCAAAAAATACCCGAAACAAGTATTACTTACTACTCCTTGTATAAGATTATAAATTGTACAATGAAATTCAAATGAGTTCAAATAAGGGGTAATATGTAATAATGTGATTAAAACGAATAATAAGACCATT